AGGGTAATCAGGCATTGGAACAGCCTACCCAGAGAGGTGGTGGATTCACCATCCCTGGAGGTTTTTAAGCAGAGATTGGATGTGGCCCTTAGTGCCATGATATAGTAATTGGAGTTGGATCAGGGGTTGGACTTGATGATCTTGGAGGTCTTTTCCAACCCAATCTATTTTATGATTCTATGATTCTATGATTCTATGACTTTAACCTGGCCACTTGGCCCTAGTTTGCCTGCACCCTTTTTTCTGCCCCCAGCCCAGACCTGCTCAGACTTCATCAGAGAGGAACTCTTTGGGAAGGAGGTCACCTTGGGGCATGGTGTAACACCTGCCAGGTGCTGAAATCCTCTCAGCAACCCTTTCAGTGCTCCTTCCTCATAGACATATTTTGTCCACATTATGACTCACCCTTCTTCCAGGGTCAGCCATTCCCTCTGGATCTGGATCCTGTGCTGTGTCCTCACAGTGCTCAAGGGCTGTGCTGCCATTGCCCTGCTCTGCTTTGCTCAGCCCCTGCTCTCTGCTCACACACAGCCCTGTGGAACTTCACAGAATCACACCCAGTATTCCAAGTTGGAAGGGACCCACAAGGATCATCAGTATCCTTGGATAATCCTGTACCGAAAATCCCCCTCAAGAAAAAGGAAACAGTCCGGAATTCCTCGCTTTTTGGCGCAATTCCAATCTCGGTCAGCAGGGGCCGCTGTTGGATCACCGGAGGAGCAGAGCCTGCAGGGGCTCCCTGACAAGGGCGATTTTCGCCCCACGCACCCAGAAGGGCAAGAGAAAGGGGATGTTTCTGCCTCATCCAAGGAGAAGGGTCAGGTGAAATGTCCCCCTGGAGCAGCTCTCTGTCTCCAGGAGTTTTAACCAAAACCTGCTGCACGGGGCTCATGTAGGGACATCAAACCCAGCCCACATGGGAATATGCAGAGCTCTTCTTTTCTAAAATTTTAACATTACAACAAACCTCTATCTGCCAACTGAGGACAATTTTGATGCAGGAACAGATGTGACCCTGTGACCTCACATGGTATTTTAAAACTCCAATGGCATGGGCCTTTCTGGGTCCAGCCAGGGCTAAAAATAACCTTTGGCTGGGATTTAGGTTTGGAAAGAAAACCCAAGGAAAGAAAGGAGGGGCAATAGAACAGTATGAATATGAAGGTTTGAGGGTCTGGTGGATGTCTCAGCTGAGCTCAGGTCCCATACATCTCCTCCTTCTCTCACCATAGAGCTCCACAGACCCTTTGTGTCTCCCCAGTCACCCCTTTGTATCTCCAGGGTTGTCACAGCCGCAGCTGGATCCCGTGGTTTATGGACACACAGCTTCCTTTGGACACAGGGCATGGAGATGTCTTCACTCGAGGGGCTCACGTCTCCATGTCCAATCCAGGGAATAGATTGGATCTGGATTTATCCATCAGACATTGTCAATACATGTGCCAGTCCCAAAGAT